TCTTATTTGTTGGAATAGATTGATTAACTGCCTGGTTTACACCTTTTAATTTATTCAAAGCCTGACTTTTGCAAGAAATAATTTTTTCTTCTAATTCATAATACTGGTTAATCATAAGATCCATTTCTGTCTCGTCTGCACAATTTACTAACAAATCTCCTTCAGATTTTTATAATATAATTTGTATGAATCATATCTATTACCTAAAGCATCTAAATACAATTTTAAATCATCAGTATTCAAAGTTTCTTGATTCATTAATTCCAAACATTTATTGTATGCTTTTGTTACATGACCCTTTCTAGCCTCCAATGATGATTTTTTTGCTCTAAATTCCATGTGTTTGTCCTCTACATTTATTTCCTAATTTTCACCCATGGTGCAATGTATTAAATTCAACTTAATTAATAACACTGATTATGTACTTAATTATGCACTTTATAAAGATAAATATTACAACTTACCTTGAATAAATCCTAGCTACTTGAACTTAGCAAAATTATTATTGTAATAATTATAATCCACTACACATTAAGTAAATTTGTGAACTTAACATCCATCTCCTTCTGTCATTTCACATATAATTATTAAGTAATTAATTCACTAGTTAATGACTTCACTAATTACATACAGTTCGATGAAGGACCAATGGGCAAAGTAATTGGAAAATTAAATTTACCTGGATGTAACTCATAAGATACATACCAGTAAATGGTAACTAAGATAATTATTCTTTATCGAGGTTACAGAGACAAGTAGGAATTTTAGGACACCTAGGTCGCAAAAAAATGTCCTTCGATACCTACTACTGTCATATCCACAAGTCACTCGGGACCTATATTAATTTCAAATGAAATATACATCACCAGAAATTCTGGTAAACCATTAATACAAATATGTGGACTGTATATTAAAATTAATAAATGATTACATATACACATTTATGTAACAGAAGGAGAATTTATAATCATAACACTCACCAATTTGTCTGGAGATTACTTGGCGTATCATACACAAACCCCCTGCCTAAAATTATGAAGAAAATACTTGCCAGAATTTCAACATAAAATAGACATGACTTAGTTGGGTTCCATGGTTGTCCTGTCTATTCGACTTCTCAAGTTATGCAGGACTGCAATTTCAACAATTTCTGCTCCTGTTTGGGAAGTTTCAATCACAATTTAACTTTCAGAGCGACGAAATTTATGCACATTTCACTAGCGTGCTTTTGCCCCATTCAAAACAATGGCGTCTCTTCCCCAGCAACGCTCACCCATTTCACTGGTTCTTTATTTATTTACAAATTAATTTTTATTACCTACAATATATTCCATCAATTTACATACAAAAACACTGTATTTTCGGAAAATATACAGTATTTTCCACAGGATATATGCTGAATGTGAAAATGAAATTCAGGAATATAATCGAGGAGAATACCTAGAAATTTAACCTTAGTGTGTCTTATTATAAGGGAACCATTTATTGATCTGTTAAGTTGGATATTTAAAGCTCTGTTTCCTAAGAGCATGAAGTATGTCTTGTTTATGTTGAGAGTTTATTGGTCTTCATCCAGTTACGTATATATTTTTAGCAGCCCGTTGTTTACAATGTCTCTAAGTATAGCTGGGTTTGAGTGGGAGATAAGATAAGATAAGATAAGATAAGATTTCGTTCGGATTTTTAACCCCGGAGGGTTAGCCACCCAGGATAACCCAAGAAAGTCAGTGCGTCATCGAGGACTGTCTAACTTATTTCCATTGGGGTCCTTAATCTTGTCCCCCAGGATGCGACCCACACAAGTCGACTAACACCCAGGTACCTATTTGCTGCTAGGTGAACAGGACAACAGGTGTAAGGAAACGTGTCGAAATGTTTCCACCCGCCGGGAATCGAACCCGGGCCCTCCGTGTGTGAAGCGGGAGTTTTAGCCACCAGGCCACCGGGAGTAGACATAAGTAGTGTCATCTGCGAGTATAACTGGTTTAAGGAGTTGAGATGCACTGGGAAGATCATAGATGTAGATGAGGAAGAGGAGTGGGAATAGGACACTACCCTGGGGCAGTGAGGGTAAATTTTTAGGTCTTCACCTTGACTGTAATCTTAAATTTCATTCAAACATCTAGCATATATCCAAGAAAATTTCTAATCAGTAGGCATCCTTTCCAAGATACGATACTATATACTCCAAACGACACTCCTTAACCTATAGCACTTTAATATATCTTTACCTCACCTATGGTATTTGTGTCTGGGGATCAACCACAGCCAACCACCTTAAACCTTGAATAACCCAACAAAATCTGCTGTGCTGATGATCACCAGTTCCTGTGTCAGACACCACACACTCCACTTTTCGAAAGTGGTTGATGAAAATGAAAATGTTCATTTCCTTGCAAAGTTACAATGTGTGGTTTACATATCACAAAATATTAATTACAAAGAAAACCACTAGCATGCCTAGGTATTTCAGGCAGACTGACTAGTACTCTATATTGACACAGGTTATAGAACAGTACATTTTAATGTTCATTAATGCATATTGATATGAAAGTTAGGTAATTAAAAAGTTTATCATTAATAAGATTGATAATAGTGAGGTAGTTCAAAATGTATACTGTATCAGTATTACCATTAGTAAATTTAGTAATAGGAATGGTTTTATCTCGGCATGATACACTTTCCATAATAGCTCGTATATTGGCAGAGTATTTCAGACAAACTTAGGACTAACTTTATATTAATTAAGCAATAACTATTAGGAATTTTATGTTTACAGTCATTTGGAAGAGTGTAAGTGTAAAACAGGGATGTGTTCATGATACAGAAAATGGCACGTGTGGTTTTCACATAGCTGATGTTGGGGTGAGTTTGGGAGCTTAGGTGTTTTTTAATGGTAATTTTGAAAATGGTAATTGAGTCTGCGGTTCTAGAGATTTCGGGCAGGAAGTTCCAGATTTTAGGCTCTTTTATGTACATTGAGTTTTTGAAGAGATTTAGCCGTGTCTTCCTTTGCGGATGACACCCGGATCATCGAAGACACCGCGAGACTCCAAGCAGACATCAACCAAATCTTCGAATGTGCCACTCAAAACAATATGAAGTTCAACGAGGAGAAATTTCAAATACTCAGATATGGAAAACTTGAAGATATTAAAAATGTGTCAGGGTATACGACAAATTCTAACCATACAATAGAGCGGAAAAGTAATGTGAAGGACCTGGGAGTGATAATGTCAGAGGATCTCACCTTCAAAGACCACAACAATGTATCTACCTCATCCGCTAGGAAAACGAAAGGATGGATAATGAGAACCTTCAAAACAAGGGACGCCAAGCACATGATGATTCTCTTCAAATTGCTTCTGCTCTCTAGGCTGGAATACTGCTGTACACTAAAAGCCCCCTTCAAGGCTGGCAACATTGCAGACCTGGAGAGTGTACAAAGAACTTTCACGGCATACATAAGTGTGATAAGGCACCTAAAATACTGGGAAGAGTTGAAGGCCCTTGATCTGTATTCCCTGGAACGCAGGAGAGAGAGATGCATGATAATATACACTTGGAAGGTCCTGGAGGGATTGGTACCAAACCTGCATACGAAACTCACTCCCTATGAAAGCAAAAGACTCGGCAGGAGATGTAACCATCCCCCGGTGAAAAGCAGGGGTGCCACGAGTACACTGAGAGACAACACAATAAGTGTCCGGGGCCCAAGACTGTTCAACTGCCTCCAAGCATACATAAGGGGGATTGAAAATAGACCCCTGGATGTCTTCAAGAAGGCACTGGACAGACATCTAAAGTCAGTACCTGACCAACCGGGCCGTGGTTCGTACGTCAGCTTTCGTGTGGCCAGCAGTAACAGCCTGGTTGATCAGACCCTGATTCACCATGAGGCCTGGTCTAAGGCCGGGCCGCGGGGGCGTTGACCCCCGAAACCCTCTCCAGGTAAACTCCAGGACACGAGGAATGTCATAGATATTTTGTGTCTGGTATTATATCTACGGTCTTGTTGCAAGTGTCAACAAAGTGTTTTTGTTCTGGATTAATATTAGAATTTATGGTTCTGTAAATGTAGATTGCACAGTAGTAAATAAAATAAAATAAAATAAAATTTTATTTATTTGTTAAAGTTACAATGTGTGTTTACATTTCATAATTTGATTGATACAAAGAGAACCTCTATCATAGACTACTTAATTGTAGACAGGTAAAGAATGGTGGAATACAAACTTTCAATATCTTACTCTCTTATTAATATGAGTTTGTACAATTCATGATATAAATATACTTTTTAAGTTTGTAATAATGGCTTAATAGTTAAGGGATAATAAAATATTTGGGAGAGTTGCTTTAAATTTGGTTAGAGTTCAGGTGTCTTTGATGAGTCAGAGGGTGTCTAGCAGTGGATTGTGCAATAATTCTTACTGCAGCTTTTTGTTGGACTATTATTGGCTTTAGGTGTGTTGCTGCTGTTGATCCCCAGGCACAAACAGCATGGGTGAGGTAGGGATAGATGAGTGAAGAGTAGAGTATTAGTAGGGCTGATTGTGGTACATAATCACGTATCTTTGAGAGGATCACAACTGTTTTGCATTTTTTTTTTGTTATGTGTTAGATGTGGGTGTTGAATTTCAAGGTGCAGACCATCCAAAAATTTGCCTTCATTATATTTAGCAATAAGAGTGTTGTCAATCATAATGTTCAGTTGGGCATCACCAGTTCTGCTTCCAAACATAATATAGAAGGTTTTGTCAGCATTAAGTTTAAATTTATTGGCAGTCATCAAGTCGATATTTTTACTCTCTCCAGGTAAACTCCAGGTAATTCTTATCTTGTCTAGACTTGAGTAGTTTTTAAGTACTAGGATTAGTCTGCCTGAAATGCCCCAGCATGATGGTGACTTTCTTTGTACTTAACAAATCAAAATTCTGATTACACATTTTATCCTATACAAAGAAATAAAATCCTTATATTTACTGTGTATTTGTGTGCAGTGGGACCTGGTGTGTGAGCGACGACCTCTCTACTCCACCACCTTCTCTGCCTCCCACTCCATCCGCTTCATCAGCTCTGTGTTCCAGGGACACCTCCTTGACACGTCAGTACTTATATGCTCATTTTTCACTAACATATTATTAACTGAAGAAGTAAAGAAATATATTTTTGCTGTATCCTGTATGCCTTCCCAGCCTGTTCTTTTTTTTAAGTGTATCAAGTGATGATAATCTTTTCTGATATGGAACACTTATGCTTGCTAGGTTAAGTTTGTTCATTGCTCACCAAGGTAATGAAGAAATTTAAATAGCTGTACAGTATTATGGTAGCAGATTAGAAACAAAGGTGATATGAATAGAAAAGACCTGGAAAACACAAAAATACTGGGTTCAAGATAAATTCATTAAGGCCTTAGAAATCATGTTTCTAACTAAATGAACATTTTATCCCGATTGTTGAAACAGTAGACTTACTAAGTAACTTATTGACTTAGATCAAACCTAGCCAGCAAAACTAACAGTGAAACTACCTCACTACTAGTTACTCAAGTTCTTTATACCAATATCCAGCTAATCCTACAGAGGTAATTTCAATAATAAATTTGATGACATTGATGTAGAGAATAAGATAACTACTCATGTGCTGACACTTACCATTGTAACATTGTTCAGCAAATCTATAGAAATCAAAACTTTCCCTAACGTACTTAAGCTAACAAGGGTTATGCCAGTCTACGAAGGTGGAGACCCAACACTAATATGTATATAAATGTATTCATGACTAAAAAAAATATTCTTAACCTTGCCACTTTGGTTTTAGGTCAGGAAGATGTATGAAAGATGCAGCAGTAAAATTGTTTGGCTCAGTCTATTATTCTCTAGATAATAATAAATATCCAAATGGCCTTTTAATTGTTGTAAGAAAAGTTAGGTAGTAGGTTGGTAGACAGCAACCACCCAGGGAAGTACTACCGTCCTGCCAGATGACTGTGAAACAAAAACCTGTAACTGTTTTGCATGATGGTAGGATTGCTGGTTTCTTTTTTCTGTCTCATAAACACGCTAAGATAACAGGGATATCTTGCTACTCCTACTTACACTTTGGTCACACTTCACAGACACGCACATGCATATATATATATACATACATCTAGGTTTTTCTCCTTTTTCTAAATAGCTCTTGTTCTTTTTTATTTCTTCTATTGTCCATGGGGAAGTGGAAAAGAATCTTTCCTCCGTAAGCCATGCGTGTCGTATGAGGCGACTAAAATGCCGGGAGCAATGGGCTAGTAACCCTTCTCCTGTATACAATTACTAAAAAAGAGAAGAAGAAAAACTTTATAAAACTGGGTTGCTTAAATGTGCGTGGATGCAGTGCGGATGACAAGAAACAGATGATTGCTGATGTTATGAATGAAAAGAAGTTGGATGTCCTGGCCCTAAGCGAAACAAAGCTGAAGGGGGTAGGAGAGTTTCAGTGGGGGGAAATAAATGGGATTAAATCTGGAGTATCTGAGAGAGTTAGAGCAAAGGAAGGGGTAGCAGTAATGTTAAATGATCAGTTATGGAAGGAGAAAAGAGAATATGAATGTGTAAATTCAAGAATTATGTGGATTAAAGTAAAGGTTGGATGCGAGAAGTGGGTCATAATAAGCGTGAAATGCACCTGGAGAAGAGAGGAATGCAGAGGAGAGAGAGAGATTTTGGGAGATGTTAAGTGAATGTATAGGAGCCTTTGAACCAAGTGAGAGAGTAATTGTGGAAGGGGACTTGAATGCTAAAGTAGGAGAAACTTTTAGAGAGGGTGTGGTAGGTAAGTTTGGGGTGCCAGGTGTAAATGATAATGGGAGCCCTTTGATTGAACTTTGTATAGAAAGGGGTTTAGTTATAGGTAATACATATTTTAAGAAAAAGAGGATAAATAAGTATACACGATATAAATGTAGGGCGAAATGACAGTAGTTTGTTGGATTATGTATTGGTAGATAAAAGACTGTTGAGTAGACTTCAGGATGTACATGTTTATAGAGGGGCCACAGATATATCAGATCACTTTCTAGTTGTAGCTACACTGAGAGTAAAAGGTAGATGGGATACAAGGAGAATAGAAGCATCAGGGAAGAGAGAGGTGAAGGTTTATAAACTAAAAGAGGAGGCAGTTAGGGTAAGATATAAACAGCTATTGGAGGATAGATGGGCTAATGAGAGCATAGGCAATGGGGTCGAAGAGGTATGGGGTAGGTTTAAAAATGTAGTGTTAGAGTGTTCAGCAGAAGTTTGTGGTTACAGGAAAGTGGGTGCAGGAGGGAAGAGGAGCGATTGGTGGAATGATGATGTAAAGAGAGTAGTAAGGGAGAAAAAGTTAGCATATGAGAAGTTTTTACAAAGTAGAAGTGATGCAAGGAGGGAAGAGTATATGGAGAAAAAGAGAGAAGTTAAGAGAGTGGTGAAGCAATGTAAAAAGAGAGCAATGAGAGAGTGGGTGAGATGTTATCAACAAATTTTGTTGAAAATAAGAAAAAGTTTTGGAGTGAGATTAACAAGTTAAGAAAGCCTAGAGAACAAATGGATTTGTCAGTTAAAAATAGGAGAGGAGAGTTATTAAATGAAGAGTTAGAGGTATTGGGAAGATGGAAGGAATATTTTGAGGAATTGTTAAATGTTGATGAAGATAGGGAAGCTGTGATTTCGTGTATAGGGCAAGGAGGAATAACATCTTGTAGGAGTGAGGAAGAGCCAGTTTGTGAGTGTGGGGAAGTTCGTGAGGCAGTAGGTAAAATGAAAGGGGGTAAGGCAGCCGGATTGATGGGATAAAGATAGAAATGTTAAAAGCAGGTGGGGATATAGTTTTGGAGTGGTTGGTGCAATTATTTAATAAATGTATGGAAGAGGGTAAGGTACCTAGGGATTGGCAGAGAGCATGCATAGTTCCTTTGTATAAAGGCAAAGGGGATAAAAGAGAGTGCAAAAATTATAGGGGGATAAGTCTGTTGAGTGTACCTGGTAAAGTGTATGGTAGAGTTATAATTGAAAGAATTAAGAGTAAGACGGAGAATAGGATAGCAGATGAACAAGGAGGCTTTAGGAAAGGTAGGGGGTGTGTGGACCAGGTGTTTACAGTGAAACATATAAGTGAACAGTATTTAGATAAGGCTAAAGAGGTCTTTGTGGCATTTATGGATTTGGAAAAGGCGTATGACAGGTGGATAGGGGGGCAATGTGGCAGATGTTGCAAGTGTATGGTGTAGGAGGTAGGTTACTGAAAGCAGTGAAGAGTTTTTACGAGGATAGTGAGGCTCAAGTTAGAGTATGTAGGAAAGAGGGAAATTTTTTTCCCAGTAAAAGTAGGCCTTAGACAAGGATGTGTGATGTCACCGTGGTTGTTTAATATATTTATAGATGGGGTTGTAAGAGAAGTAAATGCGAGGGTCTTGGCAAGAGGCGTGGAGTTAAAAGATAAAGAATCACACACAAAGTGGGGGTTGTCACAGCTGCTCTTTGCTGATGACACTGTGCTCTTGGGAGATTCTGAAGAGAAGTTGCAGAGATTGGTGGATGAATTTGGTAGGGTGTGCAAAAGAAGAAAATTAAAGGTGAATACAGGAAAGAGTAAGGTTATGAGGATAACAAAAAGATTAGGTGATGAAAGATTGAATATCAGATTGGAGGGAGAGAGTATGGAGGAGGTGAACGTATTCAGATATTTGGGAGTGGACGTGTCAGCGGATGGGTCTATGAAAGATGAGGTGAATCATAGAATTGATGAGGGAAAAAGAGTGAGTGGTGCACTTAGGAGTCTGTGGAGACAAAGAACTTTGTCCTTGGAGGCAAAGAGGGGAATGTATGAGAGTATAGTTTTACCAACGCTCTTATATGGGTGTGAAGCGTGGGTGATGAATGTTGCAGCGAGGAGAAGGCTGGAAGCAGTGGAGATGTCATGTCTGAGAGCAATGTGTGGTGTGAATATAATGCAGAGAATTCGTAGTTTGGAAGTTAGGAGGAGGTGCGGGATTACCAAAACTGTTGTCCAGAGGGCTGAGGAAGGGTTGTTGAGGTGGTTCGGACATGTAGAGAGAATGGAGCGAAACAGAATGACTTCAAGAGTATATCAGTCTGTAGTGGAAGGAAGGCGGGGTAGGGTCGGCCTAGGAAGGGTTGGAGGAGGGGGTAAAGGAGGTTTTGTGTGCGAGGGGCTTGGACTTCCAGCAGGCATGCGTGAGCGTGTTTGATAGGAGTGAATGGAGACAAATGGTTTTTAATACTTGACGTGCTGTTGGAGTGTGAGCAAAGTAACATTTATGAAGGGATTCAGGGAAACCGGCAGGCCGGACTTGAGTCCTGGAGATGGGAAGTACAGTGCCTGCACTCTGAAGGAGGGGTGTTAATGTTGCAGTTTAAAAACTGTAGTGTAAAGCACCCTTCTGGCAAGACAGTGATGGAGTGAATGATGGTGAAAGTTTTTCTTTTTCGGGCCACCCTGCCTTGGTGGGAATCGGCCGGTGTGATAATAAAAAATAAAAATAAAATAAAAGAAAAGTTACTGACACAGTAGTTTACAACATCCTGCTGTTTTATGTAGAACATTATGGGATCAGAAGCCATGCTTTATCATACATAAAGTCCAACTTTAATGAAAGACACCAACATGTCACCAGTCAAAAAATTAATTAAAATTGTTTATTTCCAGAAGGTACGATGTACAGTTGTTATAAAAATAGGTGACATGTTTTATAGACTTAGTGAAGCTCCAGGTTACCCAGAATATAACTTGGGGCTCCAGCATCCAAAACTATTATTTCTCATTTACATTGATCTACTTAATGCTCAGAAGAGTTTAAACCAGACTTGCTTCCAGATAACATAAGAATATAAGAAAGAAGGAACACTGCGGCAGGCCTACTGGCCCATGCGAGGCAGGTCCAGTTCTCCTACCGTCTTAAGCCAATGCCTTAACCTAGTCAGGTCAGGTCACATTCACTTACATCATCTAAAAATAGGTGTCCTCAACAACATTATTAATGATGACCTTGTAGACTTACATACTTAGACAACATTATTAATGATGACCTTGTAGACTTATATACTTAGACAACATTATTAATGA